CGGTTTGAACCAGAGCTGCACCAGCCTGGGCAGCAGCAGTAGCAGCAGCGACACAGGCAGAGGGACCCACCATACACGTAAGCACACACTGTAGCGTAGACATGAGATAGGTAGAAGAGATGGGTTTAATGAGGTGCTCTCTGAGGTGTGAGAGCTACGGTGTCTGCTGTAAAAAACTCTAATTCTCTCTCTGTCTGCAGATCCAACCCCAGGACGAGCAGGCAGGGGTCCCGACTCTGAGCAAAGCTCCTCACATCACGCTTCCTCCTCAAGCATCTTCCAAAACTGTGCATTGGAGGTCAGACTTAGCCTATTCTACCAACCACTGTGGTGCGGCTGTGCTTGTGCTGCTTGTCACAGGAGTAACCAGGATGTTATATTTCTCTGCTGACAGGTGCTGATGTCGAGCTGCTCCCAGTGCCGCTCCTGTGAGGCTCTGGTGTATGATGAGGAGATCATGGCAGGCTGGACAGCCGATGACTCCAACCTCAATACCAACTGTCATTTCTGTCGAACAGCCTTCCTTCCCTTGTTGCATGTGGAGTTTCATGACTTGCGCACATTAAGCGGGTAGGAATATCCCTGTCCTTATCTTACAGTAGCATTAAGATGAATTACACAAACTATCTCTTGGAAAAAATATCTTAAATAAAAACTTTTTTTCTACTCTCTTTCAGATTCTATATGAATCCCAGTGCGTCAGGAGACAGTATCCACAGCACCAGCACCCATCCCACAGCCAGCAGTTCAGCTGATATTAAGACACAAGACCTTATCAGTTTCCCCGAGGAGGAACCTAGAGAGACTCAAGATAATAGACCTGGAACTCATAAGAGGTACCGCTTCATGAGAATCTCTTGCACGCTCCACTAGGCACACTTGGATTAACCCTGCAAAAAGCTTAATATCTGTATCTTATGTTTCCTCTTTGCCTTTTTCCATTTATAGTGTGATTCCAGAGCCAGTGCAGTCAGACCCTCTGGGTCTTCTAGAGCACCACTCTGCAGGGAAGCAGCAGAGATGCAGCGGGACGTCACTGACGCGCAGCAACAGTGTTGGAGGTCCGTTGCAGAGCCTGGACTACTCCCAGAGACCTGGTCACGGTGTCTCCACAACCAGCCTGCCCTGCAGCCTGCAAGAGGTGTCGGTCAGTGCCACAAACTGTCACAAACTAACCTTAGCGCTTTTCAATTTGGCTGGTATCCCTTTATTTGCAATGCAGTGAAACTAACTGGTGCAATTCAATGCGCATGTGATTGTCAGGATGGAATGGGGACCAAACGGCCAAACCCCAAGCCTGTGTCTGTGCCGTACCTCAGCCCCTTGGTACTGCGTAAGGAGCTGGAGACCCTGATGGAGAATGAGGGGGATCAGGTAAATACACACATGTTGTATACACATGTTCTGACAGTAGAGCTATAAAGCTTTAAAGGAGTTTGTTGCCTTATAAGTCTAACATCTCTTTTTCTATCCAGGTGATCTACACCCACAAGTTCCTGAGCCAGCACCCCATCATCTTCTGGAACCTGGTGTGGTATTTCCGCCGCTTGGACCTGCCTACTCACTTACCCGGTCTCATTCTGACCTCCGAACACTGCAACAATGGAGTACAGGTCGGCAACTTATTGTGTTATCTATTATTATTGTTTTATATGCACCGCACCATTCTGATAGAATAAACTCATGGTTTCCCACACAATGTCTTTGTCTTTTCAGCTCCCTCTGACGTCACTGTCCCAGGACAGTAAGCAGGTGTACGTCCAGCTCCTGTGGGACAACAACAACCTGCACCAGGAACCTGGAGATCCCCTCTACCTGCTGTGGAGGACCTTGTGTGAGTATGCACACAAAGACACATTAGTTTCAGACGATGTTGTCCACCATCACGTGTTGAACAGGTTTATTTAGCTGTGTAAAATCTTTGTTGCAATATCATTGTTGGTCAGCAGGGGTCAGAAATCAGGCTAATTAGTTAAAGGATCTTTATGTGTGTGTTTCTTAGTGGAGCAGAAGGCGACGCTGGCTCCAACAGACCACCAGGAGATCCGCACCCTCCTCAACACAATTGTTCGCAACATCCAGACCAATGACGTCTACGGACCAATCAACCTGTTGATCCGAGAGATCAAGCGGCGCCCAGAGGGGGCCAAACGGCAAAGGTCAGCTCCGTTCTTTGTTTTTTACTTTCCCACATTCATGTTCATGTAGTGTCAGTGAATGAAAGTCTTAAGCCTCATTTGTGTGGTGTGACTTTCTCTCAGGAGTATCTATAGAGAAATCCTGTTTCTGTCACTGGTGTCGTTGGGACGGGAGAACATCGATGTAGGTGAGTGTATGTGTGACTCCAACACCATAAAGGTTTAGGGCGTAATCACACCTGGAAGTCCAAACCAAGGTCACTTTGTTTACATATTTTTAAACTATCATTGATTATTTTGATGCAGAATCCCAGACAACCACAATTTCTGCTCCTCTGACTTTGCGAATCTCCACACCCTCTTCTTTTAAACCTGCAGAGGCCTTCGACAGGGAGTACCGCCTGGCTTACGACGAGCTTAGCCCCGAGCAGCTCAAGTCGTTGCACCCCATCGATCAGCCACCCACCCCCAGCGTCCAGTGGTGCCTTAAAAGCTTCGGAGCCCCGTTCATCTGACCGGCAAACATGAGCAGCAAAGATGAAAATATCGGAGGGAAGGATCAGTTGTTGGCACGGGGTATATATTTAGTAATTTAACACCTTCAATTGTCCAAACATGGTACTTCTTCTTCCCTCTGTCTTGAAAGATGCCTACTGTCTGCTTATTAGGCCAGTCATGGCTTTTCTAAGCAGATAGTGTATAGAATGATGAATCACTGTACAGAATGTATTGCCTGCTCCTTTGGTGTAGATATATCTGCTGTGTGTGCGTGCGTGCGTGCGTGTGTGTGTGTGTGTGTGTGGGAGGGAGGGAGAGAGACATCATGGTGTCATTTCCCTGTCATGTAGCCTTTTCAACGCTTTGCTTATGCCCTCATTAGTTCAGTGCGATTTGTTTGAGACTGTGTACAGACCCCAACTGTTCCTTTCTGCACTTTCTAACAAAAACAAAAAAAAAACCCACAAACAAAACAGTAATTCAAGTCCGCCTGTCTTTTTGTACATATCTTTTTTTACTTGAGGGAAATCTGAAACCAGAGTTGCCTATTTCTTTGCGACATTTAAACTGTTTAATCTAAGTCTTATTGAACGTTTTGTTGCATATGTACAGGTCGAGGACGAGGCTCTCCGTCTGTGTAAATACATGTCGGTAGCAGGCGTGTCCGTGGGAGACGACTGTCGATGACAATCACTAATTAATCGTCACTAAAATCGATATACGACATTCCCTGTGAGTAAAACGGGTCTTAAAGAAGCATTGATCTCTTCAACCAAACCCATGTGATTAAAACCTGATATTTGGAGAGAAATCATTAACAAAAGGCAAAATCGATCATAAGTAAAAACGTGTGCCACACTACTGATCCCCACACATTAAAATAAGACATATGTTCTCTTGCGGTGTCAGCTTGTATTTTTAATTAATGTTAATCTTTTTAACAGTAACTCACTGTACTTGTCCAGCTTACATGCCTCCTTGTTATTATGAATTAGAGCTGCGATGTAATAATTACATGTATTCTTCACTGTAGCAGAAAGTAAGTTTTTAAAATTGGGAATATTATTTGCTGACAGAATATTCGTGGTAACTTTTTTGTGGCGTTCTGCACAGCTGATATGGCGTCAAAGAAGAAACGCGACATTCCTATAAATGCCGAATGAGATATATGAGAGAATATAAAAGTAAAGTGCTGCGATGAACTGTTGGGAAAAGCCTGCAGATGGCCCCATTGTAGATTTGGGGGATTGGACACTGACTTGTACAGATGTAAAATTTTCAATTTGCACTGCATCGGTGAAAACCTGACCTTAACCCGGGTTGATGACGGGACGTGACCTCCGAAGAATATAAACGATAAACAAAGCAAAAAGAAAATTCTCAATTATTTATTTTTGTATTATTGACATTTGGATTGCAGACAGTTAAGTAACTTAGCATTTTTAAGACTAACAATCCCCTCTTTCCCTTTGAATCTGTCTTAAGGGTTTCCACCCTGTGCTGACTTTGTAAATGTGTTCTCCTCGTAGCAGAGGGTGTACAGAAGAGACTGTTCTTTAACGATGATAGATAACCGTCCTGTGGAAAAGGAATTGAATGTCTACACTTAAATGCGCTGCAATAAATGAATTTGTGAACTGATTGAAACTGAAACGTGTCCGTGTTTTTGTCTCTGCCTCGATGGGGCTTTGTACTGTGCAGTGTCAGATTGTGTAGCACGCTTATTTCCTCAGCTCTGTTCTTAAGCACACAAAGATACCCTCTGGTTTTTATGGCTCATTAAATGCATCACCGGACTGGAAAACCTTCGACATTTTCCCTTCTGTCGACTTATTCATTTTTAAGTCTGCCTGAATGTATCCTCCATCTCACACTCCTTGTTCTCCCTTTCTTTTCTTGTCATCCTTCACTATCGCCCCTCTAAAGTGTCGCACATGATTTCTCTTCAAATCACAAACAGTCCAACAGTTCTCAACTTGACGACTTTAGTTTTATCATTTTACTTCAGCCTTGTACATTTCCCTATATATTCTTTTATTTGATTGTTTCTGTCATTTAGGATGTTGCTATGATATGATGTCCCACATGCACTCCCAATCAATCTCTATCTATCACTCTATCACTCTCTCTATCAATCACTATCTATCTCTATTACTCTATCACCACTCCATCTATCACTCTATCACTGTATCTATAATAATCGATACACTTTATTTATGTATGATATATATTAAATTAGTGTTCATTTGGAATGCAACGGTTTCAGTCCTCGTTTAATTATGAAATTTTTTTATGATAATAAAATGATCAACCATATCCTTCCGCCACGCAACATAGTTCTGGGGGGAACTGCAGTGTTTCCGGCGGGTCGCATGAATCCGGTGCAAGTGTTTCCATTAAAGCCGCTCCACGGTCACGCACTCTGATCTTCAGGTGACTTGGAAGGAAGGAGACGGAAGATGGCGCCGAGACGCACGAGGAACGCGGGGAATGTCCCGAACACAGAACCGCTGAGACGCAGCAGACTGGCTCTGTTCATCCAGCAGTTTGAGAAAGACGGTGTGTTCTGCTTCAGCTCGGTTAATGTCCGCCTCAACATGGTCCTACAGTTGTCCCTCTAACACCCACGTTTATGTCCTCCAGCCCAAGAACGCATGAATGAGCTGGAGGCCAAACTGGACAACATGCTGTCCACAGTGGACAAGGTGTTCGAGGTGGAGCTGATGAAGATGCCTCCTTCTTTTCAAAACACCCGCATTGGAGATTTAATCAGTGGTAAGCATCTTTTTATTTGAGTTTATAAAGTGCATTTGTCCTGTGGCATAATTATTACACGTTCTACAATATGCTGTGACTTTTTGTATTGTTTTTGTGCAGAGTGAAGTTGTGTTAATCCTACCTGGTTTATCTGCAGTGAAAATTTCTTTTTTTCTTTTAAATTAAACTCAACTTCCTTTATTCCTGTTCATGTTTGGCTCTAATGTAAGTTTGAATCATTAACTTAACTGGTGTTATGTCCTTTCATTACATGCTGACTATTTCAGAGGTCACTTAAGTCTAAATCTTTCAAAATAAAAGCTCTGGAGCAGCAAATTGAAGTTGATGGAATAAAGAAAATTGACTTGTTTTTCCTCATCTCTCAAACTGTCCTGTGTTATAGAGGAGGAAATCTCAGCCAGTGAGGTATCCATTGCCATGAAGGTGGGCTGACAGACGTCTCATCTTATAGATTAATTTTTTTTATAATTATTGTTCTAACCGGCTTAGTTGTCACCCTTTTTGCAGAACGAGTCCCTCGAGATGCACCAGCCCCTCAAGAGGGCTCACAGTAAAAGAGGTGACTTACTTTTTTTTGAAAATTTGAAAATCCTACACAAAATCCAATTAAATAGCTTAACGGTCATTTGTGCTTTTATTTTTGAAGTCAAATCAAGTGCTTCTGCCACAGTTCAGTCTGCTTCAGCCCAGAGGGCCTCACACAAGACCTCAAAGGTAGCTGATGATGGAGCAGGTGATGTGTGCACATGCACGTTAAAGGAGACGTGCATTGAGTGACGTGACAGATCTAATGCTTTCATATGCTCAGGGTTGAAACTCTCCGATTTTTCTTACTCGCAGGCAGGAAACGGTGCAAACAGGACCAGAACATTAGCCGGCAGTAGCAGCACAGGAAATATCCGGTAGGAAGTGAAGTAACATATGACATCTGCTGAGCTGCGTGCAGGCTGCTGATGTTGATCTATTTATTTTTATCTACAGAGGCTCTGCAGTCACTGCCAAGAGGACTCAAAGCCGCTTGACAAAAACCAATGAGCAGGCACCAGCCATCAAACCCAAACTCAGGTTTTAGGGGGTTATCATTTCACCTGATGTTTGTACCTTTGGCTTTTAAAAGACAAATCATTTTTAATATGAGCTGAAGTGACTCTCGCGTTGTCTCAGGTCGGTCGTTTCTGCTGGTGACCTGCACTGTTCAATGGCCGGCTCGGCTGCGCACATCACCGTCACGACAGCACAGGGGCAGGTATGGGCTGAGGAAGAACTAATTGAATATTGGAGCAGACTCGATTAAAATTCCGTTGACATCTTGTTTTCCTGCTGATGATTGGTTTAATCGTTGATACTGGACGGATGTGTTTCCAACGTGTATGTTCTGAATGTGTTCCACATGTGGTTCTCTGCCTTCTAGACCCTCAGCTTCTCTGAAGAGACCAAGGAGGAAATAAACCTCGACATGCTGGATGACGTGGCATGGTGCCAGATTCAGAAGCTGACGGTAATGGTGCACTTTTTGGCTTTTCAAATGTGTCTGTAAGTTCAGTAACAGAACAGAAGGAGTTAGCAAAAACTTTTTTGAAGTATGAAATGGTTTATGAATCTGTCCCTGCATGTCGGATTTTGGACTTTCAGAATCTGATGAAGTATCTGTCCAGGCGCAGTCGCTGCCAGCGATGAGTCAGCGATGCCTTGAGACACTTGGATCTTTTAAGTGTTTTAAAAAATTTACAATAAAGCATATTTGCATTATCCTACATGACTGCACAGTGTTTGTATAATATAGTCCATAAAAAGACAAAACAAAGGTTTGTGATTAAAATGACTGAACCTCTTAATCCACATTAAAGAAAATGAATTTAGAAATACAGGTTCATGAAAGCAACTCAAGGGTTTGAGCCAATTTTTTTTATATAATCTCCAAACTTAAAGATCATATTTGTAAAATGTGTGAAGAAATAAAGACCCAGTCACAACAAGGACCTACTTCATAATTTTTTATGTAGAAATATGCACAGGGTTAGGTTTGACAGGTTGGTTTGAAAGTAACACATTTTGCAGAGAATCTGACATGGGGCCTGATTAAAGCAAAAAGCATAAAAACTTAAAAATGGAACAACACCACAGCAGTAAAGCGTCACTGTAGTTGCTCCATCTCCACTTCCATTGGCGCTGCTCTCTGCGGCTCGGTGGATGACGTGGACAGGGCGTGTTTTGTGTCAGGAGTCATTCGTGGATAGAAGGGACCGACGAGCCAGTTGAGTGGCGTGTTGTTGACCAGATAATCCATGATGTTGTCCAGAGAGCTGCTCATTCTGCTCAGCTGTGCTCTGCTGCCGGTGAGCATGCTGTCGGGAAGGTCGCCCAGCACCTTGGCTTTGCGGAAGTTGCCGTAGACCTGCGAGGCAGAGCGGCTGAGGGAGAGCGCCTCCTGTTGGACGTGGTGGGGAAGGCCCTGCAGGCCAGAGACGAGGACCAGACAGGTGGTTTGGAGCTGCTGGGTGAGGGAACGTGCCAGGGCCAAGGTGTGAGACTCAATTACCTGAGGAAGGAATGGACAGATTTACCTGTGATGACATTTATGTCCCAAAAATATTTTCTTTACTCCACATGTTTAGATGAAATTTCCTTTTAACTGCACAAATCATTCTTTCAGGCTGGAGATTTAGAGCAGCCTGTTAGAAAGGCTTCTATTGCACTAGAAACGTTCCCAATGCATCAAGTCTGCTCAATTTCCACTTGATGGACTATATAGTAATTAAAATAGAACAAATTTGTGGTGTTTCACTTTGTTTAGTACAAGAGACATTTGATTTTTTGTTGTCTTTTATTTTTTGCACCTGACTGCAAGCCAAGTTTCCCACGTGGCCAGTGAATGACTGAATACGCCTGCTCACCTCTGCGTCATGACCATGCTCCTGGGTTGGACTATTGGACTTCCACGCCACCAAAGAGCTGAGCTTGTCATTTACAATCTGGTTAGCTTCGCCAATATGCTTTCTTCCGTATTCAATCTGGAAAACAAACGGAATTGATCCACTGAGCAATTGATCCACCTTTTGTAGAGACCACATCTGTCTAGTGAATGGAGTTTTCATGTTGTGAGAGCCAGCGGACCCACCATGTCAACCGTGGAGTTGAGCCCTGAGATGAATCCTATGCTGCGCTGCTTGCCGTCTTGGATTTTCTCCACAGCCCTGGTGTATGCCCGCTTCCTCAGCTTTGTGGAGAGAGAACCCAGTCGCACGTAGTAGCTCATCTCCCTCCTATCGAAGCCTTTCACAGTTTTGGCCTCCAGCTCTGTCACAAGGGAGGGGAATGTAAAATGTTTATGTAAAGAAAATAAGTTTCAAGGCATTTAAGTCACTGATCTTTAATCCAGCTGAACTGATGTGTGAAGACGTCTGACACAAATTGCTATGTTAGCATTTTGCATGTTTGAATAACTGAAAGAATTAAAGCCATGATGCATTTCAACTGGTTAATTCCTGAAAAGAGAAGCACATAGTGTACAGGATTGTTTGTTATAATCTTCTGCAGGTCACAGCTCACTCTAAACAACTGCTCCTTTAATGACAGAGAAAAATAAGCCATGCAAACTTAGATCCTCAGGATTTTCCCTGTAACCCCCCCCCCAACTGGAACAAATCCATCTTTAACAACGTACTCCAAAATAACTGACCCCTGATGCAGCTTGTTACAGATAAACAAGCTCTATTTCACAAGCTGCTCTCATTTTGTGTCTTAATTAAAACCAAAACAGCACAAAGTAATAAGAATTCTCTATACAAGATGTATTTTTAGCCTGGGATTCTTTATAGAATATGAAATAAACTACACCTTTCTATTGAACAATTTTTAATATTAATTGTAGATCCTTATTTCTCCTATGAAACCCCATCCTAGGCCTCTAAGAAAAGTAATCAAACAACCCATAAGCGAAGACCGGTCTTTGTTTGAGTCTTTAACCACCTTGTCTGAAGAGGGGGCCCCATCCCCATGTATCATGTTCGCTGATATTATACAATTCTAGTTTTTATTGTAATGCTTAAATTTCTGCCCAGTATTTTTATTCTTTTGAAATCTTTTATTAGTTTTTTTGTGCACCTAACCTTGTTTTGAGAAGTGCTGCATAAATATTGGTATTATCATTATCGTCTTCTGGTTTTCTCTGTCCAGCTACTAGTGCTTATCAAGTTCGAATGTGCGAGCTTTGGTACACTTCCTGAATGGGCCTTTAACCTCATTAATGAAATTGCGAGAGGAGCAGATGTATGCGTTTCAAGGGGTTATACAGTGATGCTGCTGTGGCTCACTTAGATTTGCCTCCCCCACTCACCCAGCTCATCCTCTGTCAGAGGAAGGTACTGCTCCACCAGGCTCTCGGACGTACTGAGCGCCGTGTCCACTCCGCTGCTGACGAGCTGGGCCACTCTGCTCTCCAGCACTGTGCTGACACTTCCAGTGACCACAGTCTTGGTCCTCTCCACGCCACCCTGCACCGCATCCCGAGTCTTCCCCACAACACTGGTTAGCGTGTCTGAGACCGTGTCCTTGGCCGTGATCACCACATCCTTGGCACTGGAAACGATCTGGACAGGGACAGAAACATGGACGAATAAAATAATAATTGATAAAGGAGACAGCAGTTGAGAAAGACCAGACGTAGGACGTGGCTGACCTCTGATTAGCCAACATCAACTGTGAAATAGAAAGTTGTGCAATTTGGAAAGTCAGTTCATACTTGCTCAGAGGGCTGGTGAAGAATCGGCAACGTTTTCTCAATCTTGTCCAAACCTAAACAGGCAAGGTCATTGGCAATGGCAACTGGAAAGCAAATAACATGAAGAGATTTAATCTTAAAGTTTGCAATGTCCCGAAAAATGTTCCCTAGATTATACTGTACATTGATGCTCATTGTGGTGATTGTGAGGGAACAGATAAACTGGGTGAAAGTTCAAGAAGGGCTAGAGCCAGCAGCCTGACATGAACATCCTGTTTGACTCACACTGTGTGAGTCAAACAACTATTTTCTTAGTTTCACTTCACGGCTGTGTTCTGACGTCAGATAAAAGTTTGAAGCCACAAATACATACATATGCCAGCCAGTTAAATTAAATTCACACCAAAGGCTTCTTACTCTGAGGCTCCAGTTTGTCCATGAATGGCGAAGCAGTGGTGAGGGCCACGGAGGTGATGGTGCGGACTCCCTGTTCGGCGGCCTCACACACGGTCCTGATGTAAGGGTGGGTTTCCTTGGTGGTGCAGTACATGCTGGACACCAAGCTGTAGGTCGAGCTCACCAGAGGGAGGCTGGTCACCCTCTCCACCACATTCTGTCAGGACATAAACAGGAATCATTAATATATTCAAATTGTTATTATACGGTCCAGAGGCGCCTCCTTTTACAGATACATATTATTTTTCTTATT